GAAGTCCCAGCAGCAGGAGGAGGACGGAGCAGGTTGAAACGTTTGCCCAGTTCGGCCGGACATGTTGACCTAAAAGGAACTGCGGCCACGGGTGAGGGGCACGAGCCGGTGCCCTCCGGCGGGCTTTTGGCTTCCTCGCTGCTATTGATTGAAGGGCTTTTAAGGGGTCACCAGGACTTATGAGGACAAAGTTCTCCTTCTGGGGACACCTGGAAACTACGCATTCCTCAGGGAAAACTCCAAGAGCATGTTGAGATGGATTTTTTCCCCACTGGGTGTAGGGAGGGGACCATCTGGTGGCCGGCGGGCTGTGCCCTTGGGTCCGAGGATCATCTTCATCTTACTTCTGGAAGCTCTCAGCCTCGGGGCCAAGTATCCCAATTTCGGAAAAGGAGGAAGGTACAGTCTCTAGAAAAGAAGTAACTTAGAGGATGAATGTCTACTTTGCAATCACTTTCTCTTGTTCCCCAAGCACGCTGTGCCCAGGCCAGGGGGGCACAGGAGGGCCAGGGCGGCGTCCCAGGGTGCTGAGTGGGTGTCACCAGGCCGTGCAGGCTCACAGAGGAAGACAGAGAAGGGGTGACAGGAAGGTGGGGAGGAGGCGGCAGCCTAAACAGGGGCTTTGATGGCCAGCGGGGAGGCCCTCGCGGGCTGTGCTGAGGAACGTGCACTCTGTGCTGGAGGAGGAGCCGCTGAAGGCTTGTGAGCATGGGTGAGACGTGGCGCAGTCTAGTTCGGGAACAGTCACCTGGCAGCTGCGGGGAAGGGCGCCGGGAGACCGAGTGGGGCTGAAGCCAGGAGTTCGGTTGGGAGGAGAGAAGGGAGGTGGCCTGAACCCATGCAGGGGACGGAAAGTGACTCCGTCTCTAATAACTGGCTGTGGCAGGGGAGGTGGGAGTTTAGGGCTCTGATAGTTTCTCCTTCACTGAAAACTATTTTTCTATAAAATGTACAATTTAGGCAACTTTTCAGCGATGTTGATACCTTGTGGGGGCGGGGGGTGTCTCTTGCTGGCCAGGCTGGCCTGTGAAGTCACAGCCCAGCTGGTGGAGAGTCCACACCTCCCAGCCCAGCCCAGCCTCCCCTCATCTGCCTTCCTATGGTCTTTTGTTTGTTTGTTTGTTTGTTGTTTTTGGCAGCTGGCCTGCATGGGGATCCAAACCACTGACCTTGCTGTCATAACTCCAGGCTCTAACCAACTGAGCTCACCGGTCCCTGTGGTTGGTGCGGGAACTAAATAAGGTAAGTCAGCACAAAGCCTCTGCCTGCACTTGTGTCCATGACCCTGAATCTAGTTGAGAAAAGTCCCCTGCACCAGCCTCCAGGTCTGAGAACTACAGAGAGGAGGAAGACCCGGTTCCTGCCCCCCAAAAGCTCACTGTCTAGTAGGGGAGGCAGACAGAGGCAAATAAAGACCAAACACGCAGGTGGCCCAGGGAGCCCAGCGCTGGTCCCACCGGGGGCTGCCCAGGAGATGTCCAGTAGAGTCAAATCTTGGAAGGGCGGGAGGACTTGGTCAAGGGGAAAAGAAGCCAAGGCCTTGAGGCAGAGGAAACAGCATGATGGGGGTCCCCAGGTATCTTGCAGGATACCCCACCCCCAAGATAACCCTCTTTTTAAATTCTGTTCACATCCTCTGAGCAGCTGGAGCCCAGACCTGGAGGAAGGAGGGGGGCAGCGAGCCTGTGGGGGCCCTGGTCCTGCACAGGCAGCGAGGGCTGGTCACCTGTGCAGGGAGGCCACAGTGAGGGCTGAAGGCAGCCAGGAGGCCTCTGCCTTGGTTTCATTAGGCTGAGATGATCTAAGAATGCAGCAAGCAGAAAATCTTCCAAGTACATGGTCCTTCTAAATATTCTGAGTTGCACATGCCTGCCTAAGAACCTCCATCAACAACTTTTTTTTCTTTTTTTTTTTTTTTGATGGCTGGCTGGTACGGGAATCCGAACCCTCGACCTTGATGTTATCAGTACCATGCTCTAACCAAGGGAGCTAACCAGACAGCCCTCCATTGACAATTAAACACGACGTTTATCATCTAAAAGTTCCATAGTCTAATTAGAGGGAAGAACCTAATAATCACAGAAAATAGCTTTCCTTGCTGCTTCCATAATTTGTTTCTTTCTCAGAGAGTCATATCTATATTCAAATAGTGGTTTTGCAGCATGAAGGCCTAATGCTTTCCCTCCCCCCCACCCCACCCCGAACATCCCTATGGGGTTGATGGAGTTTCCAAAGGGGCGGGCCAGGGTGGCAACCTAGTTGTCATTTTGTCTTGGTTTTTAATTTAATATTACTTTTGCGAGCAGGTGCTAGATCACATGGTTTTAAAATCACAGTAATGTAATAATATCAAAAGATGTACGTGTCTCCCTGGTTCATCTCGCTCCTCACGTCACCCGCAAGTTCACCTCTCTTTGGAGCTATTTCACATCCTTCCCGGGTTTTCTCAGGCAAATGCAAACACGTGCAGTCTGTGCGTTATTTCCCTGCACAGCGGTCGCTGGCCTGGAGCCTGCTCTGCAGCGCCCTGGCTTTCTGCTCTTCCCAGCACGTGCTGGACACTGGTCCGCATCTTTTTCATGGTGCTCCCCCTGGATGTCGGGACTAACATCACCGGTCCCATGTGGAGGGACACCGCATGTTTCCAGTCTTTGCTGTCATGTCCCCTGGCCTTGCAGAAGTGTGCATGACCCACAGGTAGTGAGCACTCATGCAAATTAAAGCCACCTGCCACCTCATTTCTCCCCTGGCCAGGCTGAAGGTGCCAGGGATTCAAAGGCATTGCCCTGAGTCGTCCAGGGCTGTCCTTTCATAGCCCCTCTGTGCTGGCTGAGAGGTCTGTGTCCCTGGCTGTCACATGGTTGGAATTTTGCCCCTTTGATAGGTGAAAAATTATATCTCGATGTGGTTTCACTTTGTGTTTTCTTTTTATTATAGGGATCGGTCTCTTGTGTTTGTGTGCGTGTGCATCTGTGTTTTCCTGAGAACTGTATGTTCCTGTCCTTTCGCCCATCTTTCTGTCAGGTTATTGGCTTCTTCTCAATTTTTGGGAACTCTTCATATGTTGGGGAGATTGAATTGCAAATACCTTTCTCCAGGTTGTCATTTATCTGTTGACTTTGCTTAGGATGGTGTTTTTCCCTTGCAATGCAGAAATTTTTTTTTCCATTTTTTTGGTTATGAATACTCATGGGGTACAGAGCAAATTGTCACCACTTGTGCCTAAGATGTGATGGCCAGATCCATACTGCCAGCAATGCAGAATTTTTTAAATGTAATTGCATATGTCTTTTTTACAGTTTTTGAGTCATAGTTAAAAGCTCATGTTTTGGGTTATATTTGCGTTTAAATATGTCATTCATTGGCTACTTATCTAGTGTACAGGGTGAGATTTGGATCTGACTTCATCTTTTTCCAGAAGGCTCCTCAGTTGCCTAACACCATTTCTTAAAAAGTCTGTCTTGGGCTGGCCAGTTAGCTCAGTTGGTTAGAAAGCCGCCTTGTAACAGCAGGGTCAAGCATTCGAATCCCCGCACCGGCCAGCTGCTAAAAAAGAAAATCTGTCTTTATTCCACTGACTGAGGGGCTGCCCACGAGATACACTGCCTGCCCTTTGGTATTTGGTTCTGTCTCTAGACTTTCTGTCTTTCCGTGGGTCTGGCTGTCTGTCACTTACCAGCACCACCTGGTTTAAATTACTGAGGCCCTGCAGTGTGCTTTCATATTTGAAAGGACAATCCCCTTTCATGGCTGTTGTTCAGCGTTTCCTGCTGTTCTTGCTTGTTTATTTTTCCATGTGAACCTTAGAATCAAGCAGTTTAGTTCCAAAAAAAATCTTGTTGGTATATCATATTTGTATGCTTAAATTTTTTTAAATGTTAATAATAATAACAGTAACACCCAAGGCCCTGTCACGCAGCTAAACCAATAGATCAGCACCTGTTCCTTAAACCCTCCCCGCCCCTCCTGGGCCCCACCCAGAGGTAAACATCTGCTTATTCACTCAACAAGCCCTTTTTGAGCACCTACTATGTGACAGGCACCGTTCTTGGTCCTGGGGACACAGCTGTGAACAAGAGAGACCAAACTCCTTGCACGTGGAGGCTGCGTTCTAACGGAGGAGAGAAGCCACATGACAGGGGGCGCGCTGGGAAGTATCGTGGGGACGGTCACTCAGAAGGAGGACGCAGAAGCGGGTGAGGCACCTGCGGTTTCCACCAGGAGGGCCAGAGGCCTCGCTGTCAAGGTGCTAACTGGGCGCAGACCTGTAGCAGGGAGGGGCAGCCTGACTTTCCCACCCAGGTCGATGCCTGTAGCACTAGTCACTGCCAGGGAGAGTCCACACGGTTCACCTCTCCGTCCCCTGCGAACAGTGACCCAAGGGAATGCCCAGGCGTGGGTTGCGGGGTCCCCCTCCTTCCCAGGTGAGGCCGAGTTGGTGTCCCCCTTTGGGATCGTGGCAGAGAACCGAGCCACGGTGTGAAGCTGGCCACGCCCTGGCCTCTCCACTGCTCTAGTGTTTCTTTTCTCACTCAATTTCTTTTCAATAAGTGACAACCTCATTCTCAGTTATTTGCTACTTCCTGATGATTAAACATCCGAATGAACATTTGAAGTTTCTCAGAGATGAGAGCTTTACAAGGCCAGTTAGGCTGATCGTTCCCACCACCACCCTGTGCCGCCCGTGTGGCCCGACCACCCATTGCCAGGTGGCTACGGTCATGCCCTGTTCCCGCAGAGCCCCAAGATGGGGAGTGAAGGCTGGCTGAGGACGCCAGGGGCGGTTCTCACCCATCCAGGTGGAGAAACGAGCCCCGGCTGGAAGGGGCCAGAAGTCCCCAGGGAGGCCAGGGGGACCCTCACCATGACAGGTGGCTCTGAGGCCACCATCTTTGTCCTAATTCCCCCAGGTGTGGTGCTGACAGAGACCAGGGATCGTTGGGTGAGTGCTGCTGTCTTCCAGGCCCTTTACGGCTTGCCTGTTGGCCTCTTTTTTATTTTTTAGTTGTTTTTTCATTATATAGATTACATGATATACACAGACACAGCACGTACGTGCATGACAATGTTTACCATTTTAACCATGTGTGAGTGCACAGTTCAACAGCATTAGTGCATTCGCAAGGTTGTGTAACCAGCACCATTGTCTATACTTGCATCACCCCTGGTGAAAACTCTGCACTAGTTAAACAGCAGCTCCCCATCCCCCCTCCCTCCAGCCACTGGCAACCTCTAATCTACTTTCTGTCTTCATGAACTTGCCTATTCTAAATACCTCATGTATGAGTCCGTTTCTGTTGCTTATAACTAAATACCTGGAACTGGGTAATTTACTAGAAAATAAAATTTATTGCTTGCTGTTTTGGAGGCTGGGAAGTCCAAAGTCCAGGGAACACAGCTGGTGAAGGCCTTGGTGGTGACAACAGTGACCCATGCATCTCACATCACAGAAAATGGTGGAGCAGAGAGACTAACCTCCTCATTCACTCTCCTTTTAAAGCCCTCAGAACCACGCCCCTGACCACCATTACGAATCCATTCACTATGGCCTGGTCCTACAATCTAATCACCTCTTCAAGGCCCCACCTTTCAATTACCATAGTAGGATTTCCTACCTTCAACACTTACGGTGGGGATTAAACCTCAGGGAGGTCCAATCTACAGCACCTAATGTAACTGGAATCACACAATGTTTGTCCTTCTGTGTCTGGCTTCTTTCACTTACCATAATGTTTGCAAGGTCCATCCATGTTGCAGCATGTGTCAGAATTTCTCTCCTTTTTAAGGCCGAATAATATTCCATTGTATGGATGTACCACGTTTCTCTATTCATCCATCGATGGAAGACTCAGTTGTTTCTACCTTCTGGCTATTGTGAATAAAGCTGATGTGAACGTTGGTGTGCAAGTGTCTGTTTGTGTCCCTGCTTTCAATTCTTTTGGATGTGTGCCTAGGAGTGGGATTGCTGGACCATATGGTAGTTCTACATTTAACCTTTTGAGAAACTGCCAAATCGTTGTCCACAGCGGCTGCACCATTTTACACCCCCACCAGCAGTGCACAAGGGTTGCAGTTTCTCCACATGCCCAGCAACGCTTGCTGTTTTCTGCATTTTTGATTCTAGCCCTCCTAGTATGGTACTCCTAGTAGGTGTGAAGTGGCATCTCGTTGTGGTTTGACTTGCGTTTCCCAAGTGGCTAGTGACATTGAGCACCTTTTCATGGGCTGTCGGCCATTTGTTTATCTTCTCTGGAGAAATGTCAAATCCTTTGCCCATTTTTGAATTGGGTTGTTTAGTTTTTAGTTGTTGGGTTTTAGGAGTTCTTTATATGTTCTGAATATTAATTGCTTATCACATATATGATTTGCACATATTTTCTCCCATTTGGTAGGTTGTCATCACTTTCTTGACAGTGTCCTTTCATGCACAAAAGTTCTTAATTCTAATGAAGTCTAATGTACCTATTTTTTCTTTTGTTACCTGTGCTTTTGGTGTCACATCCATGAAATTGTTGCCAAATCCAGTGTCATGAAGACTTTTTCCAATGTTTTCTTCTAAGAGTTTTATAGTTTTAGCTCTTAAGTGTAGGTCTTTGATCCGTCTGGGCCATTTTCCCAACTGCCTCCTGGATAATTTTTCCTGTAGGTTTCAGAAGGTGCCTGAAGTGTAACGTGTCCATAGTGAAATGTAGTCCTTTCTTCAATGGGCTCCTCCTTAATTTTCTACCTCAAGTAACAGCCTCACGGTCTTCAGGATCCTCTGCCCAGGGTCAGCCGTGTCATGAGCAGACTCACAGTCCCGCTGTGCGTTTTCATACGTGAGCTATGTACGTAC